AATATTAAAGCGAAAAATGTGTGCCAAATACAATGTATAATGTCTCAACATAGCAAAATAACATGTCTTCGAACGTAACGATTAATTAAACTCGGATTGTCGAATCATCGAATTAAAAGTAGAAATAACGAAATTATATAAATATTTAAAGTAGTATAAATTGTAAAAGTAAAATGCAATGAATAATTCTGGTCTGAAATATACTGAAATAATTGATATACATACAACAACAGCTGATTGAAATTTAATACCTGTGTTATTAGGATTTGATGTATTTGCTTTGTATGACATACAGACTGGGTCTTCCTGAGGTTGAGTCTGTGATGAAAGCAAAACATCAACACTACATGCTCCATCGTTATTGGTACTTTGAACTGCATTTAAAAATAATTTTATTATTAACAGAAAGAGAAAATAAAAAATTTTAAAACTAACAGATTGTAGATGCATTGTCCGTAATTTTCAAGGAACGATTTGTGATACTGGAAGACGTTTCAACCAGTTCTGTGTGATTATGATATTCCAAATTTTCATTTAGATCTATATAAAATTTATAAATAATTTAATTTATTTATGTTGATTTATATTTGAACAATATGGAAATAAGCATGATAAAAAATATATATGAATACGTTGAATACTGGTACTTAAACTAAACTAGTAAAGATATTTACGCCGAACTATGTCACTTTGAAAATACTTATTCTGTCTTGATAAAATTATAGTTTTATGTTTAAATCAGTTATTTATCGCAGTAGTAATTTATGGTATATAAAATAAAAATAAATTGTTTCGTCACTATCGTGAGGTCTTCCTGATTTTCTGTATGGTTAGCATAAATGTTTTGATTAAACTATGAATACAAGGATTGTGGCAAAGTTTTTGGATCAGAGTTTCTTAAATACCGGTTCGTGAAATATTGTATTTTGGTCTTATTTTTTGCGAATATATAAGTACTGAAGATTGCAAATTGGAATGAATATTTTACCGGCCGGTTTGAGTTGAAAAACATTGCTCTAGATTGCAGCATAAAGTTTAATCCAGGTATGTTGCTTTTTCTGCAATTACCGTCCTCATTCCAACTCATCTACGTGTGCTTTTAAGAGAGAATGACTTGTTAATGCACTAAATGTAATTATACTTTGTTAATCATTTTAAAGGAGAGTCTTAGTAAGTTTTCTGTTAGGAGAGCTCGAGTTGATTATCGTTAATGTACAGGTTGTAATAGTTTACCATCTGTCTTTTGTTTTAGTTGTGAAAGAATGTATAACACTGATTTATAAATATTTGATTGCCATGTTAATGTCAGTGTGATTGTTCAGTTGTAAGTTTGTGTTACCTTACCCAGTTATTCAGTTACTTTCTTATCTCCTGTTTAAAAAGTTAATGAATTGAATCGGTTTCTAAAAGAGGTACTGTGTGCATAACCTTTACTCTTTTGACAATACTAATAAAGTGATAGTTTTACAAAAAACATATGAATAAAGAAAAAGTGAGTTCAATCTGAAAACCTTTAGTGTAAATATCTACTAAAAACTATATTGATTGCTTTTGTTTAAGCTTAAGTAACAAATATATTTAGACTTTGATTAAAACCAAAAAGAATGTTTTTATAAGAGATATTTATATACATATATCTTACTTACACTTTTTCAGTGATATATATGAGCCCTTTACATTTTTCTTCTCAACAGTCAACTGTTCTGCATCTTCATCAGATAATGCTAATGGTTTAAGTATACATATAATTGAAGTCTTGATTATGCATTGAAAACAATACTTGGAAAAATATACTAGGCTCGAAAAGTAATTTCGTTTTATTTTTAAGGAGGATTTGAAATTTTTTTTTTTTCGCATTTAATTTCACGCTTAAGCCGCATTGAAACTAAGACAACAGAAAGCTCTGCGGCATAAAATACCGATTCTTAATTCTTAACATCATCACAAGGTTAATTTACAATTGTGTTTTTAATTATATTTAATTTAATTCTCAAGAAAAAGGTTAAATTTTGAAGCTAATACTCATTGTGTATGAAAAAAAGGCTATATAGAATATCAAACGAACATTATAGGCTAACTATAATTAATTAAATTGGCAACTCACGAAAAGCATTTATAGGTAGAATTAAATGTATTAGAGCAAGAAAACATAGAAGTATTAAATTCTAAAATTATGCTACTGCTACAAACAGAGCAAAATGATATTGAACCAAAATAGAGAACATATTATTCAAATACTTATGCCATATTAAAAAGCTATAAAAATAAATAACGAAATTCTGAATAATCCCGCATTAGTAATAAATTTTTAACTTTTAATCACTTGCCTTTAGTAACATTAATTTTCTCTTGGATCGAATTATTAGTTATTTTGGGTATTTTCCATATCCAATCGTCCTCATTCCAGCAACGAGTATAAAAACTTTCACGAGAAATTTGTAGCTGTTCATCACCATCAATGCGCTCTCCATTCATATTAAAATAATCTTCTTGTACAATTTCATTAAAATCAGTATTCACTGCAAGATCACTCCAATGTAAAAACTTTGGTGATATATGTTGTAAATCACTTAAATCAAGCTTTACATCATTTAACAGTAAATAAAGGAAAATATCACTTATGCGCATATATAAATTAAACGGCCATATTTCTTTTTTAATCGTGGATTCATAAATTTTGAATAGTTTTAGTTTATCATTATAAATATTAGACAATTGATAAATATTTGTGAACTTGCAGAAATCTTCGAACGATATATGCATCAATGTGCGCAGAACAGATTGTTTTGGACCAAAAGAAAAGCGAAGTACATAGGATAAAGTACATTTCTAAAAAAAGAATTAGTAAAATTATATAAATTTATTCATTATAAGTTCATTTCAATTACCAAAGGAATTGGATCGAACAACTTATTGAATATTTCCATGTTTTCTTCAGGTATGACTGGCGATTGTTCATCCAATGTTATTTCATTTTCAATATTTGGTGGCACAATCGTTTCTATTGATATTATTTCTATTCCCGACTGTCTTTTATGTGGTTGTTTATTTTCCTTTATACGTTTTAAAATTTCTGGATGCTTATTAACATCAGACACTTTTTTTGATATGTACATTAATAAAAATTCATCAGATAATGGCTTATAGCTATCGAAATAGGTGTAATTTGATTCTCTATCACTTTTTAAATGGTTTTTATCACATTTTTTTTCTAAAAACAAAACAGATTACAATCACCAACAATCATCATATGTTTTTATTGAGATTCGAACGAACGACCAAAAATTTAATCATGACTCTTAAAATCTTTTAGTTATGATATCATCACTCCTCTCTTATATAAGAGTTGGTTATTGGGAAACAATGATTATTCTGATGAATAGACTTAAAAGTTAAATAGAAATATTTCAAGTATTCGATGGCGTTAATATCAGTGATATAAATACGTTATATCACAACATAGTGAAAACCTTTGATGTAATTAGATTAAAAAGACGAATGGAACCAAATCTCGTCAACCACAACATTCCGCAAGAAGAAGTATAGCCTATAGTAGAATGAAATACGAAGTCAAAAAAGAATAAGTGACGAGCTTAGGAATTCAATATGTTACTGTTCTAAGCGTGATAGTAGTAGAATTATAGTTGAAAAAGGAATCAGCGTATATCATTCAGGTGTATTTTAATTGTAACAATCGGAAACCGAAGATCTATGCAATGGTGTGTTTGAGATTGGTAATGAGAATATCATAATTACGGGAGATGCCATGTTAGAATAAGATAAGAACAGTGTCTTGAATTTAATCAACTGACAAAGTAGTAAATTGTCTATATATCCTAACGTCAAAAATTAGATTTTATATCAGAATGGGTGAAAACCACTTCGGTTTTGCAATATAGTTGACCTAAATGCATAGAATGGATATAGCATTTGATAAGAAACTTCAACTAAAAACACACGTCTGTTCGGTTTTAGAATAAATATAAGACTCGTTTATTTTCTATAATTTTTGCTCTTAAATACTAAATTTTACATAGTCTAATAATTTGGTTTAATTAGGTTTTTCTTTTAGATACAAGGTTAAAGGAAATGTCCCTTAACCTTTTTCTTTGTTACCTTATTTAATTACTTCCTTTTCCTTTACATTTTTAACTAATCCCTGTTATTACATTTCATATTTTAATGTCTAAAAGAACCTTGGTAATAAATATTTTAAGGCTTTGAAAAACTTTTGTTAGAAATTAATTTAATTTACTAAAAATATAAAATAAAATAGTAAAATATTAAATAAAATGCTAAAATATTTAATACCCAAATAACTGAATATGTTACTTAGGTAATTAGCGCGCAGACACATGTTCAAATTTGAACATTCTGCAAGGGGCCAGAATCTCCTGCCGAGAAAACTAGTGATGTATGCGCCATTTAAATTCTCAGAGTTGTAGCTTATCTTCTTTAAGAATGGCCAGTTTACTTTCTAATTCCTTGATTCGCATCATCAGAGATTTCATGTGGTCTGCCGTTTTGAAATAAGGTCGCATGTTGTAGTATACCATTAAATTCCATGATGTTGAAACGTGATCAACTATTCCAATTTTGCCCATGTATAAGGTATCGATGCCAAGCTCGTTTACTGATCCTCCAGCGTTACCATAATAGCGCAAAAAAATACATTAAAATGTTGTAACCTTTTCTTAATTTTGGTGGCTTCTTTTTATCTTCAGTTGTTGATATGTGTGACACATGCTTAGATATATTTTCTTCAATTTGTCCCATTGGCCATTTTGCTGGATGACTCAATTCGTTTCTAGCTATTTGTCTCTTTTTGTAATTTTCCTGTGTCACCAAGTACTTCACTTTCCATTTTTTCCAATAATTGATTATTAATTTTTGTATCGGTTTCCACCGGTCCCAATTACTAATTGTACCGTCTGGAATTGGTTCAGGGATGCTTAACAATGATTTTTCTATTAAAAAATGTGCGGGAATCAATACTGCATCTTTTCCAACCCCGTCACTCTGTTGATATAAAGGTCTTGAATTGAGGACTGCTTCTATTTGATGCAATAAAGTTGACATTTCTTCATATGCTAGATTGGTTTCTCCAATCACTCGTTTTAAGTAATATTTTAGCGATTTTCCACCAGCCTCCCACATTCCACCGAAGTGTGGAGCAACCCTGGGAAAACATTGAATTGATTTTACCTCAGTCTCCCACATTCCACCGAAGTGTGGAGCTACCCGTGGAAAAAACTGCCTTTGAACGCTTTCTGAATTACGTTTATTATTATATTCTATTACAGTTTTTAAAGCCTCCACCGTTCCACCAAAGTGTGGAGCTGCCGGGGGAAAAAAATGCCGTTGAACGCCTTCAGAAACTATAATTGGTGCAATTTTATTATTGGATTTTGTTGCTGTTTTTCCTCCTTCTTTTTCCATTTCATATTTTGCTTTTTGGAGCAATTCTTGTTCAGCCGCTTGTTCACGTTTACGTACCGCCTGTAAATGTGCTCCTGCATCCTGTGTCTTACCTGTGGAAAGTTCTATTTGTTTTTGTAAGTCCCTAACCTGTTTTTGATACATTGCTTCGAGTTTATGTTGCTCAGTAGTTTCCTTTTTCAGTGCAGCTATCTCCTCTTCTTGGAGTTCATTCTTCACTTCGAGTTTCATGCGAGCTATATGCTGATCAGCAATTTCTTCTTTCAGTGCAGCTATCTCTTCTTCTTGCTCTTTATTCTTTACTTCGAGTTTCATGCGAGCTATATGCTGATTAGCAATTCCTTCTTTCAGTGCAGCTATCTCCTCTTCTTGGAGTTCCTTCGTAATCGTACAGAAATGTACTTGGTTTTCCCAAAATGTACTGTAGTTTTGACATTGATCAAGTTTTTGTTTCAGTGTAGCTATCTCCTCTTCAAATTCTGCTGCAAAGGATATCCATTCTTTTTGGGCTCCCCCTTTTTTCTTAATGCGCAATACTTCACGAATTGAATTCTTCGATGCTTCTTCCATATTTTTTCCCATGCTTTGTATTCTTTCGTCCAAATTCAACTTAAGTGACATGTAGTCATCTTGAATTCTTATGTATCTTTCATCCTGGACGATCCCCAAATTATTTTCCTTCATATCAATGGTTAATTTTTGTTGAATCCTTTCCCATAAGGAACTCACCTTCCACTGATATTTCATTAAATCATTTCTTGAGTTGTCGTCATACTTAAGACTTCCCCCAATGTTGACTATATTTTTTTCTATTTCACCAAACAATATCGCGTATGTCTTTATTGAGTCTCTTGTATGTAGTGTTGCCTTTGTTTCTTCTGATAACATTTTTGTTGTTTAATTTACAAAAACTTTCTTAGTTTTGTTTTTAATTTCCTTTATTTTCTCGTTTATATTCCTACGAGAATTATTCCCCAAACGCTTATTAACCCTTGTTAATTTTTGCGTTTCCTCGGACCAAGTGGACTGTATATTCTTCTAGGTTTGCTTAGTTCCGTGCCTCGTATGGACCACTTATGAGCAAGAAACTCCAACTAAAAACACATATCCGGCTCGAAGGACCACTTATGTGAAAGAAACTACAACTAAAAACACACGTCTGTTCGGTTTTAGAATAAATATAAGACTCGTTTATTTTCTATAATTTTTGCTCTTAAATACTAAATTTTACATAGTCTAATAATTTGGTTTAATTAGGTTTTTCTTTTAGATACAAGGTTAAAGGAAATGTCCCTTAACCTTTTTCTTTGTTACCTTATTTAATTACTTCCTTTTCCTTTACATTTTTAACTAATCCCTGTTATTACATTTCATATTTTAATGTCTAAAAGAACCTTGGTAATAAATATTTTAAGGCTTTGAAAAACTTTTGTTAGAAATTAATTTAATTTACTAAAAATATAAAATAAAATAGTAAAATATTAAATAAAATGCTAAAATATTTAATACCCAAATAACTGAATATGTTACTTAGGTAATTAGCGCGCAGACACATGTTCAAATTTGAACAGCATTGTTTATTTATTGTTGAGCAGAGAAGGCAGTCATACCTTTCCCAGAAGACTTAGTGAAGCTTCAATTTACCACACTTTGGTAGTAGAGAATATGGTATAAACTGTTCATTGGGCAGTGGTCACTTATTGGTGTACGTTGTGCAACTCTGCTAGAAAAAATGTTACGCAAACGTATATAATGTAAATTCAAACCTACAAATTAGTGGATAAATTATAAAGGCCTTAGTTCCCCCAAAAGATTGGAAATCCTAATGCAAAGAATTAACAACGCAGCTAAATCTTTACAACATAAAAATATAAAAAATTTGCTTTAGCTGAGTTTATTACTTACTTTCCTTCACTGTAGTTGATTTTGCAGGTATTTCTAAAAATTTTGCCTTCAAACTTTGCGGCATTTCTTTCAAACGCAAAGTGTATTTTTTACGTATCGATGGTTTAAAAAAGAAATTTGTGTAATACAATCGCAGCGCTTTCTTCCAAACCAATTTATTGCTCCGTAATTTTGCGAAAAGTTCTTCATCGCCTTTGGCTTTTTCTTTCAAAATTTGAAGTAGCACTTCTTTGTAATATGTGTACTTTTTGAATTCAGCTATTGAGACAGGAAACATATTATTCCACAATTGGTGGTTTGAAGATAATATTCTTAGCGATTGAAGAGAATCCCAAAACATTTAAATTTTCTTCATAATATTTTTCAGTGGGTGTAACATTAACCACCATGACAATTTTCTCCTTTCTTAACAGTGGAGCTTGCAACAACATCGTAAGTTTCGATTCTCGGTAAGGAATAACCTCAGTATTCTTCTTACGATTTAAATTATTAGCAGCATTAAGACAGCGACCCAGAATCATCAACGATTTATTGATACGTTGTGTTTCCTTAAGCCGTGAACCGACATTCCCAGTTTTGTCAAGTCGTTCAGAACCAGCCAAGTCACAGAATTTATAAGATATCTTCAAATACAAAACAAAAAAATAATGGATAAAATCATTTGAATGATAGTAAAATAGTAAAATAACTTACTTCTGTTATCAAACCTGATGCATTGCACTTTAGCACGTCAATGATGAATATACAATGCGACCGGCTGGAGTTTGCATTGATGGAAGTAGAGGCGTAAGTGACACGTTGTAAGCCAAAGCGCAGCAATTTTAGGGCTTCCAAGCTATTCTTCACATAAACTTGTGTTAATCCTTTCACGAAAACTTTTCCATCGTTGCTAACAATTTTAAGATTCTTACGAGACGGCACTGTAATTGTTTGATTAGATGCCGATAATTCCAGTAAATCATAGACTAATTCGTTATAAATTTCAACGAATGACACCCAAATCATAACAAACACATCATCGAAAACTGTGGTTTCAAAATTATGATCTGAGCATATGATTTGTTGGAATTGCTTACATATGTACTGAGGTTATATCTCCGCAAGCTGTGAGCACTTGACGAGTTGAAATTATTTCCTTGGCAACAAGTTCATCCTCTAAAATAACTACGCGAGCATTTTGTAATTTAACTGCCGGGTGCGGATTTATATTGGAATTGTATAATGTGAAAATATTCTCAATGGAACGCGGCACAATACCAGGATTAACGTCATCGCCTAAAGAAACAATTATTTTTAAACAAATCATATAATTTTACTTTAATTGAATTTTACCTAATAGTGTAAAAGTCTTTCCGGAACCAGATGTACCATAAGTCAGCACTGTGAAACTTCCCTCCAATTTTATTTTGTCACCTATACACTTATTGTATACGCCCTTTTGACTATCATTATTATCGAATATCGCGCTGAAGGTAAAATGTTTTTCCATTGCTGCTTTATTGTTCACCACAAGAGTATTTCCCATGCCTGCAATTTTATATGACGATGAAGGAGAATTAACAGGACGCAGTCGTAGATACACCATGGCCCCATCTTCTCCAATAGTACTTGTTTTCGATATGTCACCACTTGCTTTGAATATATTCTTCGGACATGGACGAAATCGCCGATCTATGCTTGGCTCGGGTCCATTAATGAACGAGAGCACGTTGCGTTTTGTTGTGTCTTCGTCTCTGGACATTTTTTCTTTATTATAACAAACAAAAACATAAAAAACAATAACACAAAAATACTTTGAAGCAAAGTTTGTTTAAGTATTGTTTATTTCTCCAGGAAAATTAACAAACTTGCTTCCAAACACAATATTGGTTAAAATGGTAGCTTTGTCAACAGTTAATGAATTATTTTTAAAATGTCCGCGGCGATAGCGAAATCAATATTATACAATGTACAATGAAAGCCGCTGTAATATTTGTAAGCGATGCTGTGTTTATAAAATTAAATTTATTTAAAATTTAAATATTGTATAGCGTAGCATTAAACCACTTTATGGTTTTAAATAAGCATCCATAAATTCGGCTAAATTATTCAGGCCTATTCTGAATACTCCCAGCGAAAAAACTCCCTATTCGCACGCTGTTCCCGAACACACAGCTCCCTTATTCTGAATCGCTAGGGAGACAGCAGTTTCGTGAACAACAACAATTTCAAATTTGTTTTGTTAAATTTTGGCAACCATGCCACTTTTTAATGACGAAAAGTGAGAAAATGAGCAAAACAAAGAAAAGAATTGCGTATCATATGTTGATTTAAATGTAAAAATCGCATTATTTGTTTGCTGCACAAATTATCGGAAATAAATATAAGTTATTTTATGAGTAAATAATAAACAATTAGAAACTTTTATTTTAATGAGTAAAATAAATATATAAAAAGAATTATGCATGAGCAAAATAAACCAAATGCTAAATTCTAAATTTTTAACTCTTTTTTAAACTAATTAAAAAACAACCTTAAAAAACAAATAAATTAAATTTATTAAAATATATTCGGAAAACTAATCAAAAAATAAAACTTTGAAAATATTAAATTTATTGTAATAATTTTATTATAATAATAATTTTATTAAAATATATTCAAAAATCTGATCATTTTCAGTTACTTTTATATTAAATTAAACTATTTTAACTTGTCTCCCCAACAATTTGGTAGCGAGAGAATTTGTGCAAAATTAGGAAAAAACTCACATTCGCATGCGATTCAGAATAGGGGAATTGGGAACAGGGAACATACCAAATTTATTCAGAATAGGGGAATTGGGAACAGCGAACAAACTCGCATTCCCTTGCGATTCAGAATAGGCCTGGTTATTCAGGCCTATTCTGAATACTCCCAGCGAAAAAACTCCCTATTCGCACGCTGTTCCCGAACACACAGCTCCCTTATTCTGAATCGCTAGGGAGACAGCAGTTTCGTGAACAACAACAATTTCAAATTTGTTTTGTTAAATTTTGGCAACCATGCCACTTTTTAATGACGAAAAGTGAGAAAATGAGCAAAACAAAGAAAAGAATTGCGTATCATATGTTGATTTAAATGTAAAAATCGCATTATTTGTTTGCTGCACAAATTATCGGAAATAAATATAAGTTATTTTATGAGTAAATAATAAACAATTAGAAACTTTTATTTTAATGAGTAAAATAAATATATAAAAAGAATTATGCATGAGCAAAATAAACCAAATGCTAAATTCTAAATTTTTAACTCTTTTTTAAACTAATTAAAAAACAACCTTACATTATGATATCAATTCTTCAATGTCTTTATTTTCAAACATTCACTGCTTTTATACAAAATTGGCGTAAATTATAATTTAATTTTTTTATATAATTAGGATAGAAATGTCCTTCATGCTTCAATTAATGAACTAATAATAGTTTATAATTGTGCAGATGTTACAATAAAAAAGAAGCAATGTTTTACCTGCACATAATTGCAAAAGTTTACTTTAACTTATTCTAGGAATCCCATTCATTTCAGAATTTGGTCTCCTTTCATTTTTCTATTGTTTTAAAAACAATAGTTAACACTTTAATTAGTGAAAAAAACCCGTGTTAATAAAATAAATAAATAAAAATTTAAATATTTCAAATTTGTTATAATATTATTAAAATAATAATTTTAATAAAATATATTAAATGAAAATTTTGTTATATTAAATTTATTCAAATAATTTTATTAATATATATGCGGAAAACTAATCAACTCTTGTGGATAAAATATAAAAATAAAACTTTGAAAATATTAAATTTATTGTAATAATTTTATTAAAATAATAATTTTATTAAAATATATTCAAAAATCTGATCATTTTCAGTTACTTTTATATTAAATTAAACTATTTTTAATACTTTTTTAACTTGTCTCCCCAACAATTTGGTAGCGAGAGAATTTGTGCAAAATTAGGAAAAAACTCACATTCGCATGCGATTCAGAATAGGGGAATTGGGAACAGGGAACATACCAAATTTATTCAGAATAGGGGAATTGGGAACAGCGAACAAACTCGCATTCCCTTGCGATTCAGAATAGGCCTGATTATTTATCTATATTCTAAGAATTTATGTGATAATATAAACTATAGTAATTAAATATATGCTATAAATTCATGTTCATGATTGAACCTCTGCCGGAGGTCAAAACTCATGTTCGTGATTGAACATTCTGCCGGGGGCCATAATAAAATTTTAATCATAATTATTTAATATGATTATGTTGTAGTAGTTGTATCGCCTCCTTCATGTCTGACGCCGTCATCATATATATATGAGGAATTTTTCCTTCCATTTTTCCCAAAATTCCAATACTTATGCTTGAGAATTACTTCGAACTGCCACTGAACTGGAACTGCATACAATTCTGTAAAGATATTATTTAATGTTTGTGCCGTACAAAATCCTCCGTAGTGAGGAGTCCCGGGGCCAAAAAACAGATATAAAAAGTAATTTGTGTTGAACAAAATTTTTTGATTCATTATTTGTAAATTTGTTTTTGAAGTTATTAAATTATTATTTAATTCAAATTTGCCATCATGGTTATTGGTATCCCCTGATATACCTAGAAGTTCTTCTTTATCTTCTTCGGATTTCTTTTCATTGTAATTTTTATTATTAATATTCTCATTGAATATTTTTTCAGGTGCTTCAGCTTCGATTTTAACGCTTTTACTGAGTGTGTCTTCAGGATCTTCAATTTTAAGTTGCGTTTTCAAACCATAGATTTGTTCTTCCAGCAATACCTTATCACCTAATAGTTCATGCAAATTTTTGTTTTTGTCACGCAAGAACTCTTCTTCTTTTTCAATATCAGGAAAGTTTGATAGGCGTGCCTGGTTATTCTTCGTTATATCTTTCCAATCCTCATATGAAGCGATTTGACTTTCCAAATCTTTTATTTTTGAATTAACAAAATCAAGTTCATTTAAATCTTTCTCATTTTGTAATTTCAAACTATCATATAAACTTGCTTTTTCTTTATATATTTCAAGTTCTTTTCTCATAGTAGAGAGAATTGTAATTCCATTGAGAGCTTATCTGTATAAAGTCGATATTCTTCTAATTCGTTAGTCATGTCATTTTTCACTTGACGTACTTCTGTTTCTATTTCATCTTTTGCTTTTTTAAGCTTTTGTATTGTATCTTCTGAATTATGCTTAAGATTATTCAACTCACGTTGCATTCTTACCAATTCTTGTTGAGCCGCTTGTTCACGTTTACGT